TACTGTACATTTTGTAATAAAAATGCTTATGGTTACAAGAAGGACCTCTTTCATCTATAAAGACAATAAAATAATCTTTGTATAAGTCTCCTATAAAAATATAGTGTAGAAAAAGGTAACTTTGTTTTCTTTAAAGACTCATACATGATCACTAAAAATACTTATTCCCCAGAGATCCCCTCCTCCTACAACACAACACCTCACTTGGCAATCATTTAATCTCATTTGACTATTCCATTTGTTATTTGTGTAGGATAGTTCATTCTCAAATAATGCTTCTGTTTTGCCACTATTTGAATACCAAGTTTCCCTACCTCAGTTACAGATAAGTATTTTCTCTGTTCTCTATCCTGAGCCCTTGATCTGATTTTCTGGGCACCTTCCTCTCTCAATAATGACTTTATTCATAGACTGGTCCCAGAACACATACAGGAAGTTACCCTCTGACACCAGGGCCCTCATTAAACTAGAAATCCAGTGTCCCAGACAATTGTGATTTTTTTTTCTTTTTTTTGAGACGGAGTCTTGCTGTGTTGCCCAAGCTGGAGTGCAGTGGCACGATCTCAGCTCACTGCAAGCCCCGCCTCCCGGGTTCACGCCATTCTCCTGCCTCAGCTTCCCGAGTAGCTGGGACTACATACAAGTGCCTGCCACCACGCTTAGCTAATTTTTTGTATTTTTAGTAGAGATGGGGTTTCACTGTGTTAGCCAGGGCTCTCCTGACCTCGTGATCCACCCGCCTTGGCCTCCCAAAGTACTGGGATTACAGGCGTGAGCCACCGAGACCGGCTGAAATTGTGATTTTTCTACTTAAGACACTTTACCCAGCTAACTCAGGAGGCTGAGGCAGGAGGATCACTTGAGGCCAGGAGTTTGAGATCAGCCTGGGCAACATAGTGAGATTCTGTATCTTTAAAAAAAAATTTTTTTTGCAGCTTTTTGAGTCCACTTAAAAATTTTTTCTTTATTTTTTGAGATGGAGTCTCACTCTGTCACCCAGGGTAGAGTGCAGTGGTGTGATCTCGCTTCACTGCAACCTCCGCCTCCCTGGGTTCACACCATTCTCCTGCCTCAGCCTCCCAAGTAGCTGGGACCACAGGGCGTGTCACCACACCCGGCTAATTTTTTGTGTTTTTAGTAGAGACGGGGTTTCACCGTGTTAGCCAGGATGATCTTGATCTCCTGATCTCGTGATCCACCCGCCTTGGCCTCCCTAAGTGTTAGGATTACAGGCGTAAGCCACCACGCCCGGTCAAAATAAATATTTTGTTTTTGTTTTTTTTTGAGACGGAGTCTCGCTCTGCCGCCCAGGCTGGAATGCAGTGGCCGGATCTCAGCTCACTGCAAGCTCCGCCTCCTGGGTTTACGCCATTCTCCTGCCTCAGCCTCCCGAGTAGCTGGGACTACAGGCCCAGGTCGCCTGGCTAGTTTTTTGTATTTTTTAGTAGAGACGGGGTTTCACCGTGTTAGCCAGGATGGTCTCGATCTTCTGATCTTGTGATCCGCCCGTCTCGAACTCCCAAAGTGCTAGGATTACAGGCTTGAGCCACTGCGCCCGGCCAATTTTTTGTTAATTAGCTGTAGGCACCTATAGCCCCAGTTATTTGGAAGGCTGAGAAGGGAGGATAGCTTGAACCCAGGAGTTTGAGGGTGCAGTGAGCTGTGATCATGCTACTGCACTCCAGCTGTGAGATAGGGCAAGAGCTCATTTCTAAAAATTTTTTTAAAAATAATTTTTAAAAAGAGACTTCAAATCCCAAATGGCAGTGAAAGGCTTAACTTTATGATATACTATCAATCATCCACATGCAACTGCCTGGACACAACAAAATGAGTACACAGACATGAGAATCAAGTAAAAAATTTAAGCTACTCCTCAAACTTGGATAGTTTTTACTCATAGACTAGAATTTGTAGGACTATAATTTTCAATTACATACACACATAACATCATCTACAAGCCACAGAACCAAAATTATGTGAAAAAATTTGAATATTTCAATATGTCACAGAATTGTGCAATCAGCACTACGAGCAATGGGACATCAGCAGTAATCTGGGTGACTATCACTATTGATCACACTTTCAGAGACATGTGCAACAAGAGAACCAGAGTAGCCGGAACACCATTGGGTAAACTAAGCACTTAAATTATTCCCTCTCATCCTCAAAAAATATTAATTACAAAAATAAAAACAGGCCAGGAGTGGTGGCTCATGCTTGTAAAGGAATTTGGGAGGCTGAGGTGGGAAGACGGCTTGAGGCCAGGAGTTTAAGACCTAGGCAACATAGCAAGACCCCATCTCTACCAAAAAAAATTTTTTGTTGTTGTTTTGAGATAAGGTCTTGCTGTATAGCCCAGGCTGGAGTACAGTGGGGCAATCTCAGCTCACTGCAACCTCTGCTCCCAGGCCCAAATGATCCTCCCACCTCAGCCTCCTGAATAGCTGGGACTACAGGCACATGCTACCATGCTCAGCTAATTTTTGTACTTAAAATATAATTTTAAAAATAAAAACAATGCTAGTTTGTATCTGGCCTCAAAGAAAAAAAAACTGTATATGATTCCTTCTCCTTTACTCTTGACCAAGCTGCTTTTCTGTCCAGTTTCTTTGGTCAGGTTCCTGAACCACTTAAAACACCAGAGTTCCTTTATGTGTAGTCAAGCCAACCAAAAGAGCCACAACCTTTTTTTGCCCAGCCCCAGAAAGTAAATGGTGTTAACATGTTTTTCAGTGAAGTGTAGAAGGGAAAAAACAAACTCTGTCTTCTACCGACATCTAAATTTTTGTGGATTATTTTCCTCTTTGATCCATTTTCTCTTTAACCCTTTCATACTGTTTCAGCTCTCTTCTTTCTCTTATTTATTCCTTCATCTCTGTTCCAAGTTCTTTTTGCTCTTACTCTTCTCAGTCTTAAAGGCCAGATCAATACCCTTTCACTTCATTTCCAATAGGAAAGAAAATATATCAGGGACTAGGAAATCTAACTCACACCAATAGCAGCAGCTGCTACTATCATCAACAATAAACAAAATCAACAAGTATCCAAGCAATTATTCAATACCTACTGTAGATGAAACTGTGTGACAAGAATGATGGAGGAGATAAGGTACAAGAGAGTTACTGCTCTCCAAGAACTGACAATCTAGTTGGAGAGATCATGCCAAAATGTGTGAACAGGTAAAACATAAAGCAGTCAGAAGACTGCAGTACATAATCTAAAAAAATAAACGAGCTGTATTGTTTGGACACAAAGGCAGGCATGGCCACTGTGCTCTAGGGGCTCTCAAGGAAACTGACTCAGAGAAAGCACGAGCTAGACTCTGAGGACCCCTAAGGGCAGTAAGAGATGAGGTGGTGAAGGGAAAGCTTTCCAGGAGGCTGACCATGTATAAGAAGGAAGAATATAAAACAGTAAATTTTATGTTACATATATTTTACCACAATTAAAAAAAAAAAAAAAAAAGGAAGGAAGGAAGGGAGGGAAGAAGGGAGGGAGGGACAGGTGCTTGGGCCCCTCAGCTGTCTCTAGCAAGGCAGAAAAAGCCAATACAGAGGGCTTGACAATCTGAGAATTCCTGTGTATAGACAGGAACATCCTTGTGAACTTGGTCAACTGACACTGTCCAGAGCATAGTCACACACTACATAATTCCTAATATTATTTTTTCTAACCTAACATTATGAACATATCCTTTTCTTATTTTAAATACCAACATTGTATATAACCTGACAGCATGACTAAAGCAAAATAAACTATTGATCAACAAGAGAGAGGTGTGCATGGTGAGGAAGAAAAACCCGATTATTGTTTTCTATCAGGGAAATGCCCTCTGGAGGCAGGGGTTCAGCAGCTTTGCTATAGCCATAGTGCAGAAATCCCACACCCAGAGGATCCATAGGTCCCCATTCTTCAGAGTTTTCTGCTCAGCACAAGAGAGAAGTCTACAATCACTTCTAGAAATGAATCACAAATAAAAAAAAAACCTTAGCTTTCAGCTTCCAGCCAGTTGCTAATAAAGACCTGAGTATCTAAATCCAAGATATTAACCTTTGCCAACCATCTGGGGGAAAAAAAATCCCTAAACTAGTAGATAAAGCAAATTTTATAGAAATCATACAAGGCACACCTTAGTTACTTCTGTTTAAGTACCAATAAAATTTATTTGGTTGACATCATGCCAAGGTGCCCTTCTGACCCCAAATTTAATCAGAAACAAAATTCATATAAGAATTCATGAAAAAAGATTAGCAAAAACACTAAAGTAAGAGAAATATTTCCAATTTCCCATAATGGCCAGTGTTAGAGAAGGAAACATGCTTGCTGGGAAACTGTCAAAATGATCATAAAAAATATAAATAATGAGGATAATAACTGGCCTAAGGTGCAAGACATCCAAAGGTATGTTTTAGCTTACGTGTTAAAAAATAAAATGCTTGCTGGAATAATCAACTTTGTTCATTCTTTATAATTCCCATACTAACACCCCCTATATCAATGAAATACAAGCTATAAGAAAAAAATATTAAAATCAGTACATGAAACAAATGAGCTCATTAGCCCAAAGGCAATGATTATTCAGGGCAAACCAGAGGGATCTGGATACTCTCCAGACATTTATCAGTCACTCAGTCATACAGAAGATGGTGATTCTGATGCTTATTGTATCAACCTCATAAAATTCTTGAAAACTCACTTCCTGAAACAAGTGCAAAGTTGTGCAATTCTGCTACTACACATTTCTGGTATGGTACATCTTTCTTGAATCTGTCCCACCCCTCCTTTCTAATTCTTACTAATTTGGGAATCTGAGGACCTTAGATATGCATATATTAGAAAACAAAGCAAATGTAACAAAATGTCCAAATGATGTTGACATACATTTGGTTTCAAGCTACAAGGCCATTCAATTAGTCTGGAGGAGACATTAATTAACAACAGCTCATCCTTAGATTTAACTGGAGGGGGATTACACTGGAGTTTACAACACTGCTCACCTTTAGGACAGAAGCTAAGCTGGTCATGTGCTCATTGAGGGCACCCTCAGATTCCTTGTAGGTCAAGCAAGTGAACTGGTACTCCTCGGGATCAAAGGCATCAGCCCCCTGCTGCTCCACATCGCTGGCTACTCCCACGTAATAGTCCTCTATGTCCCCAGGGTCTTCATCCTCTTCTTCTTCCTCTTCCTCACAATTTGGGTCATAGTCCTCTTCATTGCTGTCAGACCCCTGGCTATTCATGTCCACTGACATCTTAGCATCCAGCCAAGTTGCAGATCAGGAAAGCAGTTGCTTTTTCCCCCTCCCCCCAAAACTACCGATTTCTCAAATGCATTAGTATTTTTGTCTTCTAAGGGAGGAAAAAAAAAAAAAGTGTTACTTTTTCCCCACGACAAGTAGTAACAGAAACAGTTCAAGAATCAAAATGGGACAGTCCTGGCCCTAATCTCACTATAGCCTATTACAACTCTGGTATCACATGGGGAATCTCACCATCATCCCCCTGGCCCAGGCCTATCAAAGGGAAATCCTTCCCTGGAGAGACAGAAGCAGCTGATAAATGGTAACTTCACATGAAAGGCCTGGCATGACAGGGCAAGGCCATCTGCTCCATGTCAGAAAGTCAAATTCCAATGAACTTGTTATTCTTCCCAAAGTCCTTAAGGGAGAAGCACATCCCCATAGCTGGCCGCCCAGAGGGGAGGTGACATAAAGGTTTAACTACCAAAGTTTAAAATTTTGCTTATCATGCCTCCATTAGTATTGATACAGACAGTACATAAATAGGAACACGTCCCGCTATAATATGTAGAAAAAGAAGACCACTGTTTCACAGACATTACTCTTAGATGTCTGAAAGACAGGTGCATAGTTGGTAAAGAAAGAAAAACAACAACAAAAAAACCACATAGGTCTTCAACATCCTCCTCTACTCCGCAAAGCTGACTGAATTTTCAGGTTTAAGGAGTTCTACTGGCCGGGTGTGGTGGTTCATGCCTGTAATCCCAGCAATGTGGAAGGCCGAGGCAGGTGGATCACTTGAGGTCAGGAGTTCAAGACCAGCCTGGCCAACATGGCGAAACCCCATCTCTATTAAAAATACAAAATTAGCCAGGCGTGGTGGCATGCACTTGTAATCCCAGCTACTTGGGAAGCTGAGGCAGGAGAATCACTTGAACCGGGAGGCAGAGTTTATAGTGAGCCAAGATTGCACCACTGCACTCCAGCCTGGATGACAGGAGTGAAACTCCATCAGCCAGGTGTGGTGGCTCATGCCTGTAATCCCAGCACTTTGAGAGGCCGAGATGGGTGGATCACTGAGGTCAGGAGTTCCAGCAGCCTGGCCAATGTGGTGAAACCCTGTCTCCACTAAAAATACAAAAAAATTAAGTGGACATGGTGACAGGCACCTGTAACCCCAGCTACTCGGGAGGCTAAGGCAGGAGAAACGCTTGAATCCAGGAAGCGGAGGTTACGGTGAGCTGAGATTGCACCACTGCACTCCAGCCTGGGCAATAAAAGCGAAACTCCGTCTCACACATACACACACACACACACACACAAAAAGGGAAACTCCATCTCAAAAAAGAAAAGCTGCAGACAGTAAAACGTTACTCAATTACATATAAACAAAAAGAGAATACTAGTTGAGAAAGCGAAACAGTCACAAATCCTAACTTCAACTCACAGAAGATTGTGGCAAACACCCATTAACTTTTCTACACAACTACTATCTCATCTGATGAGCTGTAAGGAACAATCTCAACTAGTGATTTAAATCTAAAACTAGGCCAGGTGCGGTGGCTCACGCCTATAATCCCAGCACTTTCGGAAGCCGAGGCGGGCAGATCACGAGGTCAGGAGATCAAAGACCATCATGGCCAACGTGGTGAAACCCCATCTCTACTAAAAATACAAAAATTAGCTATACATGGTGACACGTGCATGTAATCCCCAGCTACTTGGGAGGCCGAGGCAGGAGAATCACTTGAACGAGGGAGTCGGAGATTGCAGTGAGCCGAGATCCTGCCACTGTACTGCAGCCTGGCAACAGAGCGAGACTCCATCTCAAAAAACAAAAAAAATCTAAAACTAATAGAAGCTTAAAGTGCAAGAGCATTTGGATTTAATAGTATGTAAACAATTTATTTAAATAAATCTTGATTAAATACAAAAGCAAATATAAAGTCTACTTGAAGTAGGTAATCTGTCCGAAAAAAACAACGAACCATAATCTAAAACAAAGACTGAGGGCCAGGTGTGGTGGCTCACAAGTATAATCTCAGAATTTTGGGAGGCTGAGATGAGAGGATCCCTTGAGGCCAGGAGGTCAAGACCCACCTGAACAACCTAGTGAGACCATGTCTCTACAACACATTAAAAAAAATCCCAGCACTTTGGGAGACCGAGGTGGCCAGATCACCAGGAGATTGAGACCAGCCTAGCCAATATGGTGAAATCTCATCGCTACTAAAAGTACAAAAATTAGGCTGGGTGCGGTGGCTTATGCCTGTAATCCCAGCACTTTGGGAGGCCGAGGCAGGCAGATCACAAGGTCAGGAGATCGAGACCATCCTGGCTAACATGTGAAACTCCCATCTCTACTAAAAATACCAAAATTAGCTGGGCATGGTGGCATGCGCCTGTAATCCCAGCTACTCAGGAGGCTGAGGCAGGAGAACTGCTTGAACTTGGGAGGTGGAGGTTGCAGTGAGCTGAGATTGCACCACTGCACTCCAGCCTGGGCAACAGAGCGAGACTCAATCTGAAAAAATAAAAAAATAAAAAATAAATTAGCTGGGCATGGTGGTGCACACTTGCAATCCCAGCTACTTGGGAGACTGAGGCAGGAGAATCACTTGAACCAGGGAGGCGGAGGTTGCAGTGAACCAAGATCATGCCACTGCACTCCAGCCTGGGCAACAGAGTGAGACACTGTCGCAAAAAAAATAAAAATAAACAAATAAATAAAATAAAATAAAATAAGACAGACATAGTGGTCATGCGTCTGTAGTCCTGGCTACATGGAAGATCTGCTTAGGCCTGGAAGGTCAAGGCTGCAGTGAGATCATTCCACTGCACTCCAACTTAGGCAACAGAGATTCTGTCTCCAAAAATAATAATAATAATTCAAGTAAATGCTCTTCTACTTAAAAAGAAAAAAAAAAGGCCCACGTACAGTGGCTCACGTCTGTATCAGTGGCTCACATCTGTATTATAATCCCCACACTTAGGGAGGCTGAGGCTGGAGGATCATTCAAAACCAGGAGTTCCAAACCAGTCTGGGCAACATAGCAAGACCCATGTCTACCAAAAGGAAAAAGAATTGGTAACCAGTCTAAAACACTATGGAGTCCTGAGATATGGTATCACTCTGACACCCAGTCTGGGATATAAAAACATGATCATAGCCCACTGTAGCTTCCAACTCATGGGCTCAAGAGATCCTCCTGCCTCAGCCTCCTGAGTAGCTGGGACTACAGGCATATGCCACCCCCATACCTAATTTTATTTTTTGTAGAAACAGGGTTTTACTACGTTACTCAGGCTGGTTTCAAACTCCTGGCCTCAAGCGATCCTCCTGCCTTGGCCTTACAAAACGCTGGGATTACAAGCAAGAGCCACTGTGCCCAGCATAGAGTCACATTTTTATGTAATAAAAATATCGGCCAGGCACAGTGGCTCACACTTGTTTTTTTTTTTTTTTTTTTTTTTTTGAGGCAGAGTCTTGCTCTGTCGCCCAGGCTGGAGTGCAGTGGCACTATCTCGGCTCACTGCAAGCTCCGCCTCCTGGGTTCACGCCATTCTCCTGCCTCAGCCTCCCGAGTAGCAGGGACTACAGGCGCCTGCCACCACGCCCGGCTAATTTTTTTGTATTTTTAGTAGAGATGGGGTTTCACCATGTTAGCCAGGATGGTCTCGATCTCCTGACCTCGTGATCCACCCATCTCGGCCTCCCAAAGTGCTGGGATTACAGGCTTGAGCCACCGCGCCCAGCCGCCGGCTCACACTTGTAATCCCAGCACTTTGGGAGGCTGAGGCGGGCGGATTACCTAAGGTCAGGGGTTTGAGGCCAGTCTGACCAACATGGAGAAACCCAGTCTCCACCAAAAACACAAAATTAGCTGGGCATCGTAGCACATGTCTGTAATCCCAGCTACTCAGGAGGCAGAGGCAGGAGAATTGCTTGAACCCCAGAGGTGGAGGCTGCAGTGAGCCAAGATTGCATCATTACACTCCCGCCTGGGCAACACGAGGGAAACTCCAGTAAAAAAAAAAAAAAAATCAGTATATCTAAGTTGATATGTTAACTATAAATGCTCCCATTTCTAAAAATTAAAAAAAAAACAAAAACGGCCCTATTCATTACGGGGCAATAAAAATAATGTTTGCAGTCTGACCTTTTTTTTTTTTTTTTTGAGAAGTCTCGCTCTGTCACCCAGGCTGGAGTGCAGTGGTGCAATCTCAGCTCACTGCAACCTCTGCCTTCCGGGTTCAAGCAATCCTCCTGCCTCAGTCTCCGAGTAGCTGGGACTACAGGTGCATGCCACAACGCCCAGCTAATTTTTTTGTATTTTTATTAGAGATGGGGTTTCACCATGTTGGTCAGGCTGGTCTCGAACTCCTGACCTCATGATCCACCCGCCTCAGCTTCCCAAAGTGCTGGGGTTACAGGCATGAGCCACCATGCCTAGCTAGCAGTTTGACTTTTAACAAACTCTTCTGCATGGTAGAGCCACCTAATCACAACTAAACTATGGTGTTTTTTCTTTAGGAGAAAAAGTTAATCTTTAAATTAAAGATACCTGTAATTCTTGGCGATCTCTCAGGCAGATGTCACCCAAGTATTCTACGTAATATGATTTCCATCTAAAATGAAAAGAATTACATTTTTAAAACTGGCATACTGCTTTTGTAAGTTTATTTTTTTTTAAAGCAAAGGTATTTTAAAGGATAAGTAACAAGGGACCGTAACTATTAAATTAATTATCTTCTTTTAAGTGCCAACAAAAATCCATGTCATAATTACACTGACAAGAGTTACATGACCTTCTAAAAAAACAAAGTATTCAGCTAGGCATGGTGGCTCATGCCTGTAATCCCAGCACGTTGGGAGGCCAAGGCAGGTGGATCACCAGAGGTCAAGAGTTCAAGACCAGCCTGGCCAACATGGCGAAACCCCATCTCTACTAAAAATACGAAAATTAGCTGGGCATGGTGGCGGGCACCTGTAATCCCAGCTACTCGGAAGGCTGAGGCAGGAGAATCACTCGAACCAGGGAGGCAGAGGTTGCAGTGAGGTGAGACTGCGCCACTGTACTCCAGTCTGGGTGACAAGAGACTTTGTCTCAAAAAAAAAAAAAAAAAGTATTCTAAGTAAACAGGTAGCAATAATTTAACCTCAATTCTCTCTCTCAGTTTGGAAGACTGTTTATTTTTTCTTTTGAGACAGTGTCTCCCCTCTGTCACCCAGGTTGGAGTGCAGTGTTGCAACCTCAGCTCACTGTAATCTCCACCTCACCCAGCTGAAAGGCCGCTTCTTCACTCCAATACTTCTGTCCTTCAGATTCTCTACAGCAACTACCACAATTTCAATCCTAAATGTTATGTAGATGTTGACAAAGCAAATTGTAACTGACTTAAAATTTAATTTTTACTATAAAATCACCTCCACTGTGGTAATCTAACACAGAATAATGCTAATATTTCAGATCTCACTTTACTTAAGCTGTTGTGGCTCATTTATGTCACATTACTCATAAATGTTATGGTGGTACATGCTTGTAGTCCCAGCTACTTGGGAGGCTGAGGTGGGAGGATCTTGAGCACAGGAGGCTGAGGCTGCAGTGAGCCATGATCACGCCACTGCACTTCAGTCTAGGCAACAGAGTGAGACCCTGTCTTCAAAAACAAAAAAAGTTCCAGGACCAGGTGTGGTGGCTCACGCCAGTAATTCCAGCACTTTGGTTTGGGAGGCCAAGGTGGGTAGATGGCTTTAGCTCAGGAGTTCAAGACCAGGCTGGGCAACATGGTGAAATCTCACCGTTACAAAAAACACAGAAATTAGCCAGGAATGGTGGCGCATACCTGTAATTCCAGCTACTCTGGAGGCTAAGGCAGGAGAATTGCTTGATCTGGGAGATGGAGACTGCAGTGAACCAAAACTGTGCCACTGCACTCCAGCCTGGGCAACAGAGCGAGACTCCGTGTCAAAAAAAAAAAAGAAATTGCCCACAGACTTCTTACCAACCAAATATTTAGGTGGGGAAAACTCCACACTCCTCCAAAAAAAAATAAGAATGCCATTTCATACTAGGTATTCTAGGTACAGATTTAAATGAAAATTTAATTTTTAATCATCTCAAAATTAAATATCCAAATTCTACTTGAAAAAGTGGGCCGGGCACAGTGGTTCACAACTGTGATCCCAGCACTTTGGGAAGCTGAGGTGGGCAGATCACAAGGGCAGGAGTTGGAGACCAGACTGACCAACACAGTGAAATCCTGTCTGTACTAAAAATACAAAAATTAGCTGGGCGTGGTAGCATGCGCCTGTAGTCCCAGCTACTCAGGAGGCTGAGGCAGGAGAACCGCTTGAACCCAGAAGGTGGAGGTTGCAGTGAGCCGAGATCACACCACTGCACTCCAGCCTGGGCGACAGAGCAAGACTCCGTCTAAAAATAAAAAATAAAAAATAAATAAATAAAAAGTGATCTTGTCCTGACAGTATTTTATTTTATTTTTTTTTTGGAGACAGAGTCTTGCTCTATTGCACAGGCTGGAGTGCAATGGCACAATCTCGGCTCACTGCAAGCTCCACCTCCCAGGTTCACATCATTCTCCTGCCTCAGCCTCCCAAGTAGCTGGGACGACAGGCACCCACCACCACGCCCGACTAATTTTTTGTATTTTTAGTAGAGATGGGGTTTCACCGTGTTAGCCAGGATGGTCTCGATCTCCTGACCTCGTGATCCACCCACCTTGGCCTCCCAAAGTGCTGGGATGACAGGCGTGTACCACCGCGCCCGGCCAACAGTATGTATTTCTTTAGTAACATAACTGACAGTAACATTTTTATTTCCTTCGAAACTTAAATATTATCCCCACATCCCAGACAGAAATGGCATAATAGACATTATTTTTGGAGTTCAAGACCAACCTGGGCAACACTGCCAAATGCTGTCTCTACCAAAAAGTCTTAAAAATTAGTAGGTCATGACCGGGCGCGGTGGCTCAAGCCTGTAATCCCAGCACTTTGGGAGGCCGAGACGGGTGGATCATGAGGTCGGGAGATCGAGACCATCCTGGCTAACACGGTAAAACCCCGTCTCTACTAAAAAAATACAAAAAACTAGCCGGGCAAGGTGGCGGGCACCTGTAGTCCCAGCTACTCGGGAGGCTGAGGCAGGAGAATGGCGTAAACCCGGGAGGCGGAGCTTGCAGTGAGCTGAGATCCGGCCACTGCACTCCAGCTTGGGCGATAGAGCAAGACTCCGTCTCAAAAACAAAACAAAACTAAACAAAACAAAAAAATTAGTAGGGCATGGTGGCACATGCCGGTAGTCCTAGCTGCTCAGGAAGTTGAGAGAGGAGGATTATTTGAGTCCAGGAGATTGCAGTGAGCCATGATCACGCCACTGCCCTCCAACGAGCCAGGTAACAGAGTGAGGCCCTGTCTCTAAAAAAAAAATTTTAAGGGGGGATTGCATTGGGAGTTATACCTGATGTAAATGACGAGTTGATGGGTGCAGCACACCAACATGGCACAAGTATACATATGTAACAAACCTGCACGTTATGCACACGTACCCTAGAACTTAAAGTATAATAATAAGAAGAAGAAGAAGAAGAAGAAGAAGAAAAAAAAAAGAAAAAATAAAACTTCCTAAAAAAAAAAAAAAAATTTTAAGGGTCAGGTACAGTGGCTCAGGCCTATAATCTCAGCACTTTAGGAGGTCAAAGCGGGAAGATCGCTTGAGCCCAGCAGTTCAAGACCAGCTTAGGCAACCTACTAAGATTCCCGTATCCACAACAAATTAAAAAAATTAGTCAGGTATGGTGGTACATGCCTGTGGTCGCAGCCACTTGGGAGGCTAAGAAAGGAGGATCACCTGAGCCCAGAAAGTCCGGGCTGCAGTTAGCTGTGATCGCCGCCACTGCACTCCAGTCTGGTGACAGCAACTTTGTCCCGCCCACCAAAAAAAAAAAAAAATTCCTCCAGAGTCAAAGTCACATGTTCAGGGGACCTGACAACCATCCTGGGCTTGCTGACCACGCACAGAACACATAAGTTTTAGTGAGTCTGATGACGTTTACTCCAGATATGATCACTAGCGCTAAATGGTCATTCCTAACTACACTTCCGAAGAAAAACTACTTGGCACAAAACTAGAAATCAGCAATTTCGTTTCAAAATCCTACACTCTATATCTGTCTTTTCTAATACGGTGACCACAAGGCACATGGGGTTATTTAAATTTAATTACACTTAAAAATTAAGTAAAATTTAAAATTTAATTTCTCAGGTGCATTAGCCTAAGATCAAATGCTTAACGGCCACGTGTGGCTAATAGCTATCATGTTGAACAGCAAATGTATAGAAATGTCGCTATGACAGAAAGTTCTATGGGACTGGGCAATGAACAGTACGAAGGCGAAGTCATCCAAGAACGCGGCTGCCCAAGCAGCTTCAGGCGAGGCGGCGACACAGTTCCGGGGCCGCACATCCCGAGGGGCCGCGGGCTCCGAAATATTCGCGCGGCCGCGGAGCCCACGAGCTGGGGATACCCTCCACAGGCGGGCGTTAAACCGCGCGGCCAGCACCGCGAGAGCTCCCAAACAGGACTCGAGCGGGGAGCCCCGAGGCCGTGCGTTTCCCCGCCGCGCCAGACAGGGGGGCCTAGATGTGCTGGCGCTGGTTGGTCAGAGGCGGTGGCCTCTGACCTTTCCGCGAGCTGAGAAGACGGCGGGAGGAAAAAAGGCAGAGACAACGCTGGGCGCCCGGCGGTCCCTCCGCTGACGGCGGGTAATGCTCGGACAGCGAACTGGCGGTGGGGGGTGCCCGGGCCTCCCGGGCGACGGCGAAGGCGGAGTCCCGGCCCGGCCGGGGAGGCTGGCTGAGAGGCCCCCCCAGCTGCCCGCCAAAGTAAACAAGGCCGCGACGTGCGCTGCGCACTTACCGGGAGCTGCGGCCTCGCGGCCGCTGAGCCCGGACAAGCCAGACCGGGTCAGGCCGGGCCAGAGGGACCGGATTGGGGAGAAGCGGCGGTAGAGGCGGCGGGCCGACGCCGGTCAAGCCCGTGCTGCTTCCTCCAAAAGAGTCGTCCCGGCAGCTCCGGAAGTACTTGGCGCCGTTGCGTCACTTCCGGATCGGGGTCGACCACGGTCGCTCAGGTCGCCACTGGCTCCTGGTTAGAGGGCCTCTTTAGCGCCGCCTCCTTGCAATTTAGCGCTCTGACCCATAGTCTGACTAGGGTACGGCAGGTGCCGACCGCGTCTGGAGCCACCATTCGCCTACCAGCGTCTCCCGTTGAGATGTTCTTAACCAACGCGTTTCTCACCGCCTTGTCATTTCACTGTGTACTCCGGGATCGGGCACGGAGAAGACATACTGGCGTCGGTGGAATGTCTAAAGAACCATTGTTTCCCGGCCGCTATCTGGTCTGAGGGGAGCTGGGCCGGGAATTTCTGCCGACACCCCGAGGCGGTCGCCGGGTGGCCCCAGAGCCGCAACCATACCACGCTTTCGCTTCCCCCGCCGCGGCCTCGTTCGCCGCCCAGTTCGACTTACCGTCACCGTGCAAGGTTGCATCTTAACTGCCTTGCTTGCAGTTTCTTTTCACACTATAGGAGTTGTCATCATGACTTCCAGTTACCTTCTGGGACCGGTTGTCAAATGGTGTGGCTAGAACTCAGATTGTTGCTACACCACAGTGGAAATGCCAGTGTGAAGCCGCTGATGTTAGGAAGGCTCCAGGGTGTGCAATTCCGTAGACAACAAATCAAATCATTTCCAACCATACTGGACTCGTGTATATACGCATTCAAGACACCTGTGCTGGCCGGTCGCTGTGGCTCATGCCTGCATTCCCTGCACTTTGGGAAGCCAAGGTGGGAGGATCGCTTGAGCCCAAGAATTTGATGTAGTGAGACCCCTCCTTTCTACAAAAAACAAACAAACAAACAAAAAACTAAAAATTAGCTGGGCGAGGTGGCACACGCCTGTGCGTCCCAGCTACTCAGGGGGCTGAGGTGATATAGGATTGCTTGAGCCGAGGAGGTCGAGGCTGCAGTGCGCCGAGATTGCACAACTGCAGTCCAGCATCGGTGATAGTGGACCCTGGCACAAAGCAACAATAACAAACCATACAATGTAGAAAGCCATTAAAAATCATGCCGGGTAGCCGGGCGCAGTGGCTCACGCCTGTAATCCCAGCACTTTGGGAGGCCGAAGAGGACAGATCACGAGGTCAGGAGTTCGAGACTAGCCACACCAGCATGGTGAAACCCGGCTTTACTAAAAATACAAAAAATTAGCCGGCATGATGGCAGGCGCCTGTAGTCCCAGTTACTCGGGAGGCTTAGGCAGGACAATTGCTTGAACTCTGCAGGCGGAGGTTGCAGTGAGCCGAGATCGCGCCACTGCACTCCAACCTGGGCGACAGAGTTGAAGACTCGTCTCAAAAAAAAAAAAAAAAAGCCGGGCGCGGTGGCTCAAGCCTGTAATCCCAGCACTTTGGGAGGCCGAGACGGGTGGATCACGAGGTCAGGAGATCGAGACCATCCTGGCTAATACGGTGAAACCCTGTCTCTACTAAAAATACGAAAAACTAGCCGGGTGAGTTGGCGGGCGCCTGTAATCCCAGCTACTCGGGAGGCTGAGGCAGGAGAATGGCGTGAACCCGGGAGGCGGAGCTTGCAGTGAGCTGAGATCCGGCCACTGCAAGCTCCGCCTCCCGTGAGGCTGAGATCCGGCCACTGCACTCCAGCCTGGGCGACAGAGCAAGACTCCGTCTCAAAAAAGAAAAAAAAAAAAAAAGGCCGGGCGCGTGGCCTGCCTGTAATCCCAGCACTTTGGGAGGCCGAGGACGGTGGATCACGAGGTCAGGAGATCGAGACCATCCTGGCTAATACGGTGAAACCCTGTCTCTACTAAAAATAATGAACTAGCCGGTGATGCCTTGGCGGGCGCCTGTAATCCCAGCTACTCGGGAGGCTGAGGCAGGAGAGGCCCGGAGCGGAGGCTTGCAGTGAGCTGAGATCCGGCCACTGCCCTTCCAGCTGGGCGACAGAGCCGAGACTCCGTCCAAAAAAAAAAAAAAAAAAAAAAATACCGGTGGACTGTTTGCCTATGGAGTAGCAATTTTTTTTTTTTTTTTTTTTTTTTTTTTGAGGCGGAGTCTTGCTCTGTCGCCCAGGCTGGAGTGCAGTGAGAGAGCCGCTATCTCAGCTCACTGCAACCTCCGCCTCCCGGGTTGAAGTGATTTTCCTGCCTCAGTCTGCCAAGTAGCTGGGACTACAGGCGCGCACCACCGCGCCCAGCTAATTTTTTTTTTTTTTTGAGACCGAGTCTTGCTCTCTCGCTCAGGCTGGAGTGCAGTGGCGCGATCTCGGCTCACTGCAAGCTCCGCCTCCCGGATTCACGCCATTCTCCTGCCTCAGCCTCCCCAGTAGCTGGGACTACAGGCGCCCGCCACTACGGCCGGCTAATTTTTTTGTGTATTTTTAGTATAGACGGGGTTTCACTGTGTTAACCCGGATGGTAATTTTTGTATATTTAGTAGAGACAGGGTTTTACCATGTTGACCAGGATGGTCTGGATCTCTCGACCCCGCGATCCGCCCTCCTCGGCCTCCCAAAGTGCTGGGATTACAGGCGTGAGCCACAGCGCTCCTGGCCTCCTTTGTTTATTTACTTCTTTAATAAACTTGCTTTCACTTTACCAAAAAATAAAATAAAATAAATCATACTGGGTGGCGGGGTATGGTGGCTCAAGCCTGTAATCCCAGCACTTTGGGAAGCCAAGGTGAGAGGATCGCTTGAGCCCAGGAGTTGGAGACCAGCTTGGGAAACATAGTGAGATTCCATGTCTACAGAAAAAAAAAAAAAAAAATGTTTTGGCCGGGTGTGGTGGCCCACGCCTGTAATCCCAGCACTTTGGGAGGCTGAGGCAGGTGGATCACTTGAGCCTGGGAGTTGGAGACCAGCCTGGGCAACATGGTGAAACCCCATCTCTACAAAAAATACAAGTTAGCTGGATGTGCTTATATACCTACTTAGGAGGCTGAGGTGGGAGGATCACTTAAGACTCAGGAGGTGGAAGCTGTAGTGAGCAAGGGATCCGGCCACTGCACTCCAGCCTGGGGGACAGAGCCTGAACCTGTCTTCAAAAAAAAGGGAAAAAAATGCTGTACTAAGGCACCTATTGACAAGGAAAGGTACTTGGGATATACTCAAGTGATAAAAATAGGATGGGGCCAGGTGTGGTGGCTCACACTTGTAATCCCAACATTTTGGGAAGCGAAGGTGGGTGGATCGCCTGAGGTCAAGAGTTCCAGACCAGCCTGACCAACATGGCAAAACCCTGTCTCTACTAAAAAATACAAAAATTACCTGGGCATGGTAGTACGTGCCTGTCATTCCAAGTACTTGGGAGGCTGGGGCAGGAAGAATCACTTGAACCCGGGAGGTGGAGGTTACAGCGAGCCAAGATTGCACCACTGCACTCCAGCCTGGGCAACAGAGTAGCTCCATCTCAAAAAAGAAAAAATAATGGCGTGAACCCGGGAGGCGGAGCTTGCAGTGAGCCGAGATCATGCCACTGCACTCCAGCCTGGGGGACAGAGCAACACTCTGTCTCAAAAAAAAAAAAAAAAAAAAAAAAAAGGCCGGGCGCAGTGGCTCGAGCCTGTAATCCCAGCACTTTCGGAGGCCAAGACAGGCGATCACGAGGTCAGATCGAGACCATCCTGGCTAACACGGTGAAACCCCGTCTCTACTAAAAAATACAAAAAACTAGCCGGGCGAGGTGGTGGGCGCCTGTAGTCCCAGCTACTCGGGAGGCTGACGCAGGAGAACGGCCTAAACCCGGGAGGCAGAGCTTGCAGTGAGCCGAGATCCGGCCACTGCACTCCAGCCTGGGTGACAGAGCAAGACTCTGTCTCAAAAAAAAAAAAAAAAAAAAAAAAAAAAAATACAAAGTCAACCATGGTGGTACACGCCTGTAATCCCAGCTACTTAGGAGGCTGAGGCAGGAGAATTGCTTGAACTCAGGAGGTAGAGGTTGCAGTGAGCTGAGATCACTCCACTGCACTCTAGCCTGGGTGACAGAACGAGACTCTGTCTCAAAAAAATTAAAAAAAATAAATAAATAAATTCAGTACATGTCTCTATTTGTAGCTATCCACACACACATTTACACAAAGCTTTTCATTAGTAACAGGCTATTGCAAATATCGTTCTGCTGCTTTTTTCACTTAGTAGAAGGTGCTATTACTATCCCCATTTCACAAAGAAGTGATCAAACTAAAATTCTTTTTTTTTTTTTTTTTTGAGACAGCGTCTAGCTCTGTTGCCCAGGCTGGAGTGTAGTGGCACAATCATGGCTGACTGCAACCTTGACCTACCGGGTTCCAGCAATTCTCCTGCCTCAGCCTCCTATGTAGCTGGGATTACAGGCACTCACCACCATGCCTGGCTAATTTTTGTATTTTTAGTAGAGACGGGGATTCACCATGTTTGCCAGGCTGGTCTCAAGCTCCTGACCTAAAGTGATCCACCAACCTCTGCTTCCCAAAGTGCTGGGATTACAGGCATGAGCCACCATGCCAGTCCAAGCTAAAATTCTAACCCCAGCCATCTGAATCCAGAGCCTGCCCTTTTGACAGTGCTGTAACCCTTCTGAGTGTGTAACAGTATAAATGTATCGTATTTGACAAGCAATTCTCCCGCCTCAGCCTCCTGAGTAGCTGGGACTACAAGTGCATGCCACCATGCCTGGCTAATTTTTGTATTTTTAGCAGAGACGGTGTTTCAGCATATTGGGCAGGCTGGTCTCAAACTTCTGACCTTGTGATCCACCCGCCTTGGCCTCCCAGTGCTGGGATTATAGGTGTGAGCCACTGCGCCTGGCTATCTGTTTCCAAATTTTCACAGTTATAAAGAGTGTTATAGTGAACACCCTTGGATATAGTCCTTTTTTTTTTTTTGAGACAGAGTTTCGCTTTTGTTGCCCAGGCTGGA